ACACACACTCTCTCTCTCTCACACACACACACACACACACACACTCTCTCACACACACACACTCAGAGCTGGATGTCTCACCTTCTCGTTTGAGAGGCATGTCGGCTGTCGTTCTCTCTGCAGTGTGTCCGTCTCCAGCTGTCCTTTGATCCTCTGAACTTAAACCTCTTTAGGGCTTTGAGCTCCGGCCCCACGGCCTGCTGGGAAATGTAGTTCAACCTGGCCCTCTGTCGATCAAGCACAGTGTGAGTGTGAAGGACTCGGTGTCTGGAGTGAAGAGTCTGTGTAGATGTGGCTCAGGGTTTAGCTGTTTTCTGCTCAGCAGAGGAAGCACTCATGACTAAAGGACAAACACACGCAACTCAGCAGGGTTCATGCGCTTTTAGGCATTTAAGCACATCTGAAAAAAGACATTACATACTCTTTAGCAAGCCTGTAACAACCTAAATCAATGATTTAAAAGCATTTTTGGCAAATCCAGGTAATTTACCATATGCTTTAATGTCTATGACTGTAATAGGCCCCATCTTGTTTAGAAGCACCTGTGGCATGTGCTCACCAGGTTTCGTCAAGGTTTCAGTTTTCGTTTAGGCTTTATAAGCTTTTGGGTTTATTTGGACAGTTTTCTAAATGACCCCGTTATAGCTTCCCTAACAGTACATTTCAACATTTGTTTTAATAATAATTGACCTAGAGAGTCTAGAGAATTGTACTGCAGTGTTTTTTTTCCAAATCGAGCGAAAAACCTAGTAGTTCGTTTTTTTTCATTTTCTCAATCATTTAACAATCGGTTTGATTGACAGCAGTGGTTCTAGAGGCAAAGATGTTTGGGATGAGGAGGTCTATCGTATGATACGAATATTGAGTTTGGCGAAGATATCTCACTCCGTTCATGAGTTACAGCAGTTTTAATAAATGTGACCCGCCCCTTGAAGGTTAACTTAGTAAACAGCTTTAATACCCAGTGTCCATGTGTCAATCATTTGTTTCTATACAGGGAATCTGCACGAGTGTGTGTGTTTTCTGCTGCCACACACACACACAGTCTTCAAACAGGTTGTATAGACTTGCTAGTGTTTCTATCTTTAGACTCATCTGGACTGTCATGCAGCTATTTTTAACAACAGGCCGTTTAACCACCAGACGTTGTTTTATTGATCTGAATAATGATCGTCTCCTGCTTTACAGCTGAAATTGAGTTGGTTTCATAATTGAGGAATTTTGCAGCATTAAAGGGATAGTTCACCCAAAAATTTAAATTAGCCCATGCTTTACTCACCATCAAGACAAATACAATCCGAGTCATATTAAAAACCGTCCTTGTTCTTCCAAGCTTTATAATGGCAGTGAATGGCTGTTATTTGCAATAGTGAAAGACTAATTTAAATGTTTTGAGTGAACTATCCTCTTATTTTCCTGTTTATTTCTGTGAAGCTGCTTTAAAACAATCTGTATTGTATAAAGCGCTGCAGAAATAATAGTTTAGGTTTGGACCCCATTGACTTTCATTACATGGACAAAAACACGGAGACAGTTATTAAAATATCAGGAAGTCATTCAGAATGATCATGGAGAGATCCGTCACTCATTATCATAAACTTCAGGGTAGAAAAACACAAACATATTTCAGAGAGGAGAAGCACGTCAGATTTATTGACACGTGGAAGCGGCTCAGATCAGACGCATCAGATATGAACCTCAGTCTGTGTCATACAGAACACAGCCACCAATCACGGCCCGTCGGAGGTCAGAGGTCAAACAGTCACCGCTGCAGCATATCGGTTGAAAACGGAGCAGACAGGAAGTAGTCCAGCCCTCCCTCCGCAGGGCACAGGAAACAACAAACCTCAGAAGCACATCGCTACAAAACCACGTGTGTTTGTGTTAAAGCAGAAGATCACATGATGATTCCAACGCCGGCCGGCACCCGCTTCCTGAGACTCACTTCCTGTTGGAGGCGGGGCCTTTATGGAACAGATAAATCGACCTCTGAAGTCCTGAAGGAGAAACCAGAGCAGAATCAAACGTGTGACCGTTTCATGAATACAGATCAGTGTGAGTGTATATATACACACTATATTGCCAAAAGTATTGGCACCCCCTTCTAATGAACAGGTTTGACTACTTCAGCCGGCCGGCCCGCTTCCTGGGACTCACTTCCTGTTGGAGGCGGGGCCTTTATGGAACAGATAAATCGACCTCTGAAGTCCTGAAGGAGAAACCAGAGCAGAATCAAACGTGTGACCGTTTCATGAATACAGATCAGTGTGAGTGTATATATACACACTATATTGCCAAAAGTATTGGCACCCCCTTCTAATGAACAGGTTTGACTACTTCAGTCATTTCCATGAGTATAAAGCTTAATATTTAAGCATTTAATGATATTCCAGGGAATTGTGTGCTTTTGAACAGTTTGGACAGGACAGGACACTTTTCTATGTCTTGTCTAACATGACAATGGCTCTGTGTATAAGGCAAGGTAAAAAAAGAAATGATTGAATGAGTCGGTGTGGAAGAACTGGACTGGTCTGCAGAAAGCAGTCAGTTATAAATATATGTAATTATAATCACCGATTCCCAAACGGAGTATTTTACAACAGTGTGATGGTTTTTGCTGTTTATCGCTCTGCAGCTGCTTTGAAACGGTCTGTATGGTGTGAAGCGCTTCAGAAATAAACTGGACTCGAGTGTGTTTTCTGTGGTCTCTGATTCTGGACGGTGTCTCGGAGTGTGTGTTAGCGTGCTGGAGGTGTGTGTGTGTATATGTGTGTGTGTGTGTGTGGTGGTGGTGAGTTGTCTCTGTGTGAGTGTGAGTGTGTGTACCGTTAGCGGCGCTGTGAGGCGTCCCGATCAGCTCGTAGCTGCTGAAGCCCACCTCAGCCGTCAGGAAAGAGCTGAACTGATCCGGCTTCAGTCTGATGCTCCTGTAGTTCCTGTACATGACCTCCTGCACACACACACACACACGGTCAGCTGCAGCTAACATCACGTCAAATGAGCTGCTGTTACACATCAGGGTCAAAGGTCACTGAAGAACACGCATGCAAAATCACGAATTTAAGCATGAATTAAAAGCTAAAAAAATAAGCCAATTCAAAATATTACTAAATACCATAGTATAAAATATAGTATACATGTACTAGA